ACTCCCCATCGTTGCTTTTCTGGAAAACGCCGAATCGACGAATGGCTGAGGATGACAAGCATGTGGACGATTTGGATCTCGGTGACGGTCCTCGTCGTTATAGCAGGTGCGTGGGCAGTTGCGGTCTGGATAGGACGCCGACGAGTCCGACAGAATCTCTTGAACCAGGAACAAGCGAAACGGCAATTCCAATTGCGCCGTGAATGGCTTGAAACTGAATTCATGAAAGCCGCAGCCGCCAGCGGAAAGCCCCGTGGACTGCGTTGGGTCGACTGCGAATTTGGCAATGATGTCCAATATGCCTGCGACGAAGAAAATGGGTTGCTTCGCGCCTTCATCTCGGTCACTGTTCGCTTCGAGGCAATCGAAGGGGGAGACATGGAGGATGTCGCAGCGGTCGGTAATTTGCGAGCCGCCACTGGCGTATTCGAGTACACCGGCAATCGCTGGGTTGCCAATCCGAGAGCGATCTTCAATCTCTCACCCAATCAGGCCATCCTGCACTTCAAGCACCGATCGGTTTCAATCGACTAACGCTTTGTCGAATCGTTTACGCAGAAACAGTCGCTTCTGATCGCGAGGGCAATTCGGAAGTTCGCCGAATTGTTCGTAACCCAGGCGGCGGTAAAACTCTGGGGATTGAAACGTGTAGGTGTCGACCCAAGCACCGACGCAGTTTCGTTGGATCGCAATTCTTTCCGCTTCGAGCACCAGTTCTCTTCCCAATCCTTTCCCTTGGTACTCCGAATCGACCGCCAACGTTTCGATGTACAACCAATCCCAATTGGTATGGCCAACAAGGCCGGCCACGATTTGGGCATCGTCACGGACTTGCAAGACGATCAGTTCAGGCTGGTAGTGTTGGCCATTTGATTGGGCGTCTTCAGAAAGCATTTGGGAAACGGCTTCTTCGACGCCTGTATTGGGGTTTGCGACTTCAANNCTGATTGCGCCGTTGCTGTCTTCAGCGATGGTTGTAATATGATGCTGTTAGGCGAAGACGCGACAAGAAACGAAAAAAGGCAGCGGAGATTGGGATGGAGTTACCATCGACCCAATGCTCCGGCTGCCGTATTTGATGAGAACCGAAGAAACGTCAGTTACTTCGAGTCCTTCAACAATTTCAGCAAGACCGTTTGCAGGATACCACCGTTGCGGTAGTAGTCGAGTTCGACCGGCGTATCGATTCGCACGGTTGCGTCGAACGTCGTCACTTCGCCGTCAGCAGCTTTGGCCGAGACGGTGACCTTCTGCAATGGCTTGAGATCATCCGGCAAGTAGATGTCGTAGGTTTCTTCGCCGGTCAGGCTGAGCGATTCCCAGGACGATCCGTTGGGGAATTCCAGAGGAAGCACGCCCATGCCGATCAAGTTACTGCGGTGAATACGTTCGAAGCTGGAAGCAATCACAGCTTTGACACCCAGCATGAATGTCCCCT